GCGCCCTTCCCTCGCCAGGCGGGCCCCTGCCAGGCCCCCGAGAGCACAGCGACGAGCACCTGCCGCGGGACGGCCCGGACCCACGACAGGCCCGCCCACAGCCACACCGCCGGATGACCCTTTTAGACAAACCTAAGCGCGTTATCCACATCCGAGACGGTTTCGCAGGGAGCCGTCCAGCTGGAGGAGTGCGTGTGGAGCATTTCCCGCCCGGCGGCCCGGCTGCCGGCACGCACTTCCCCCGGACGCTCTTATTTACATCGAGGTTATCCCGCGACAGTTTGTGCATGCCCTTATTTAACCACCGAAGGGATTACATAATCGGAGGAAACCATTTTATTCTGAGTTCCTTCTGGACGCTTTCATTTACATCGAAATGAATCCGCGACAATTTGTGCGTGCCTTTATTTAACCAAAGGGGCTATGTAACTGGAGGGAAATCATCTCTCCCATCGTGGCCTCAACTACAGCACGCATTTGTGACTTAATGAGTGTAGTTACAATTTACGCCATTAATCAGCAGATGGTGTATTTGACTTGAGAAAGCCAAAAACCAGCACGTAGCGACATAAGGCATAAACTTGCATTAAAGATCACCACTTGTTCCTTTCCTAGGCTCCTGATTTCTCCCATCTTTAAAACGTTAGGTTCAAAGTGAATAGTAAGAGAGCACCTTGTGGCTAGAAGTGGAACACCACTACCTTTAATTTGGATATTTATGGCATGGAATTTGACAATCCTGACTTGAGGTCGTTGAGTTGGTTCTCATTTGACTCACTGTCACAGGGAGTCTGAATGGCAGCGGCAATACCTACTTCTATAGCAGTAAGAGCCTCACTTCAAAAAGGAAAGGTAGCTAATCTTGAATTTGCTGTCAAAACGGAAAGGTAGCTTATCTTGAATTTGCCGAAATAACCGTAATTTATGGCAGTAACTTATGCATAACCTTATTACTTAAAAATCACTGAATATATATCGAAGACCTACAAGGCAGTTGTGATCCAGGGCACTGTATTGACTGTGTTTGAATAGGACACTATCTCTAAAAGAAAATTCACTGCAGAATTAATCATATTGCAAAGAAAAATTTTAATGAAGCTCCTATTAAATTATATGTGGCAAATTATAAATCAGATACATTCTGTTAGTGGAAAGGTTCAAGTGAAATTTATGAAGGGAAAAGGAACTAATATTCCTTTTCAATGTGAAACCGGAAGTGTAAGTCAAGAAGTTAGTAATTATTATGGATAAGGGCCTCAAAAAAAGCTGAAGGAAATTAGTTTATATCCACAGCTAGCTGAATAGTAAGTTGCGAAGGCTTTTAATTGTATAGCCCCATCTTTCATTGGCTCCAGTCTTGGAATCCATCTTCAGCAAGTGGGCAAAATACCTGTTTTCTTAGCAGTACCGTAGGTCAGGGACCCCAAGGATTAAACATCACTCTTAGCCAAAGCTAAGTTTTATCACATTTATTTAGGGTTATTACTAGCAGATACTTAAAATGTGTATATCTGATATCTGAACTAGAAGCCATCTGCAAAATTTCTTTCCAACTTAATTCTCAGCTTTCGAATCAACTACTATTATATATTGCTAAATTAAATCCTGCCATATTTCAAGAAGGTGAATGTAATAAATGAAAAATATAATCTGAGGTCGTGGCTTTTATGACTTAGTCTACATACATGTAGTGCCTTTGCAGTGAATACTCTTACGGCTATTATGTGCTGTGGGATTTACTAGAACAATGGCTCCATCCAGTTACAGCAAGTAATTGTAAGCAATCGGTAGCTTCCCCGAGCAAAGTTCAGTAGCCGCTCCAAAAACAACGGAAGCTAGGTTATTAGATTCTTTGCCCAATAAGAAGAATGAAAGTTGAATTACTGGTCGGTTTATTTTTGTAATAGAAATAAAATTTAAATAGCAGTAGGA